GGACACGACCCGGACACGACCCGGACACGACCCGGACACGACCCGGACACGACCTGGACATGGATCTCGACACGACCCCGACACGACCCGGACACGACTTGGGCACGACTTGGGCACGATCTGGACACGACCTGGACATGACCTGGACATGACCCGGACACAACTTGGACACGATCTCGACACGACCTGGACACGACCTGGACACGACCTGGACACGACCTGGACACGATCTCAACACGACCCGGACACGACCCGGACACGACCCGGACACGACCCGGACACGACCCGGACACGACCCGGACACGACCCGGACACGACCTGGACACGATCTGGACACGATCTGGACACGACCTGGACACGACCCGGACACGACCCGGACACGACCCGGACACGACCCGGACACCGGACACGACCCGGACACGTTGAGCTGAGTTTGCGTGTTCTTCCTGTGTGGGTTGCGGGTTGGATTCTCACCGTCATGCGTTGGGCGTTCTCTTTGTCGTTGGGCGTGACGATGGACGACGTGTGACAGTTCCTGTTCGCTCGGCCGATGTGGTTCCTGCTCGGCGCCACCTGCTGCTCCTGGACGGACACGACACGGACATGAGACGGACACGACACGGACACGACACGGACACGACACGGACACGAGACGGACACGAGACGGACATGAGACGGACATAAGACGGACATGAGACGGACACGACACGGACACGACACGGACATGAGACGGACATGAGACGGACATGAGACGGACATGAGACGGACATGAGACGGACATAAGACGGACATGAGACGGACACGACACGGACACGGACACGGATATGAGACGGACACGACACGGACATGAGACGGACACGAGACGGACATGACACGGACACAAGACGGACATGACACGGACACGACACGGACATGAGACGGACACGAGACGGACATGACACGGACAGGAGACGGACACGACACCGACACGACATGAACACGACACGGACATGACATGAACACGACACGGACATGACATGAACACGAACACGACATGAACACGACACGGACATGACATGAACACAAACACGACACGAACACGATATGGACACAACACAGACATGACACGGACACGACACGGACACGACACGGACATGACACGGACATGACATGGACACAACACAGACATGACACGGACATGACAGGGACACGACACGGACACGACACAGACACGACACGGACATGACACAGACACAACACAGACATGACACAGACACGACAGGGACACGACACAAACATGACACAGACACAACACGAACATGACATGGACACGACACGGACACAAAATGCACATGACACGGACACAGACATGACATGGACACGGACACAAAATGGACATGATATGGACATGAGACAGACACAAGAGCAAAACCTCAGCTCTTTGATTCTTAAAAGTTCATATATAATTTAACCCTTTGAAAATGTGAACGTTTCATCTCGTGGACTCGTCGTTTTGTCCGTCTCACATTTTCTCAATGACCTGAGTTTGTATCGACCTCAAACAGAATCCTGAACCGACTCGGAGCTCAGGAGGAAATACCACAGGTCAGGGAAATGTCAGACAGCACGTGTCCCTGCAGGGGGCGCCAGAGAATCCTGACGAGTTTACACCAGGTGGAGAGTTAAAACCGACTCTCACAGAATCAGTTTGAACATTTTCTCAGTGTTTATTTGAGTTCAATCTGTTCTAGAGTTAATTTAACATTTTTGGAAAGTAACATTATCATTAAGTAACACTGGACCAAAGTTCCTGTTTAACCCCAAATCCAGAGTTATATTCACGTTTTGAGAGTAAACAGAAAACACTTTGTAGAGTTAATCTGATTTAACCAAACAACACACAGAGGAGTTTTATTTTTACACTTTATTTGAGTTAATTTAAGATGAAATTATGAACAAAACTGGTTCAACCTGGTTCTACTCTGACGGGAGTTTGAAGTGGAGGGAGGAGACAAATTAACACTAAGGGAAGTTGAATTAACTTCAATTATTTCTAAATCAGGTCTAAACCAGGACTAACCCTGGTTTGAACCCGGTCTGGGTCTTGGTCTTGTGTGGGTCTGGGTCTTGGTCTTGTGTGGGTCTGGGTCTGGGTCTTGTGTGGGTCTGGCTCTAGGTTTTGATCTGTGTCTGGGTCTTGGTCTGGGTCTGGCTCTGGTCCGGGCCCGGGTCTGGGTCTTGGTCTTGGTCTGACTCTGATTCTGGGTCTAGGTCTAGGTCTGGGTCTGGGTCTGGGTCTGGGTCCCGGTCCGGGTCTCGGTCCGGGTCTCGGTCCGGGTCAGGTCTGGACTCACGGCGTGCTGGTGCAGGCCCGTGGACACGGCGTGCATTCGTGCCGAGTGTTGGATGACGCGGTCGAACAAAGACGCCAACGACGCCACGGGACAAACGGGCCCCGAGCACAAAGGAGACGAGGACACAGGGGGCGCCAGAGAGCACAGCAGCATCCACACAGCGCTCACTGCAACACAGAAGAACAGGACTCAACCAGAGGACCAGGACCAGGACCAGAGGACCAGGACCAGAGGACCAGGACCAGAGACCAGGACCAGAGGACCAGGACCAGGACCAGGACCAGGACCAGAGACCAGGACCAGAGGACCAGGACCAGAGGACCAGGACCAGAGGACCAGGACCAGAGACCAGGACCAGGACCAGGACCAGGACCAGGACCAGACCAGAGGACCAGGACCAGAGGACCAGGACCAGAGGACCAGGACCAGGACCAGGAGGACCAGGACCATAGGACCAGAGAACCAGGACCAGGACCAGGACCAGACCAGGACCAGGACCAGAGACCAGGAGGACCAGGAGGACCAGGGACCAGAGGACCAGGACCAGGACCAGGACCAGGACCAGGACCAGGACCAGGACCAGGACCAGTGTTTGGAAGTAAGTAAAAAAGGTACTAAACCACGACTATGAACTAAACACAGACTTTTCTTTAACATTTTCTTTATCATGACCTTTTATTTTGTACGATCATAAATGATAAACTTTTGTGCCTCTTTATTATTTTTATCAATTTGTACGAACATAAACGAAAAAAATGGAATCTTTAAAAAAATGAAGATAAGAACTAAGAAAAAAAGTGACAATCTTAAACCCCGTTTACACTAAAACAAATCAGCGTGTCAGTGTATCAGAAATGATCTGTGTCCACACTCGTCGTTTCTGTGTCGGCAATCAAATCATTCCCTCCACACACTCGTTCTCCCTGTGACAGAGGGGTGTTCTCTCTGTGACAGAGGGGTGTTCTCTCTGTGTGACAGAGGGGTGTTCTCTCTGTGTGACAGAGGGGTGTTCTCTCTGTGTGACAGAGGGGGTGTTCTCTCTGTGTGACAGAGGGGTGTTCTCTCTGTGTGACAGAGGGGTGTTCTCTCTGTGACAGAGGGGTGTTCTCTCTGTGACAGAGGGGTGTTCTCTCTGTGTGACAGAGGGGTGTTTCTCTCTGTGTGTCAGAGGGGGTGTTCTCTCTGTGTGACAGAGGGGTGTTCTCTCTGTGTGTCAGAGGGGGTGTTCTCTCTGTGTGACAGAGGGGTGTTCTCTCTGTGTGTCAGGGGGGTGTTCTCTCTGTGTGTCAGAGGGATGTTCTCTCTGTGTGACAGAGGGGTGTTCTCTCTCTGCGACAGAGGGGTGTTCTCTCTGTGACAGAGGGGTGTTCTCCTGTGACAGAGGGTGTTTCTCTCTGTGTGACAGAGGGGTGTTCTCTCTGTGTGTCAGAGGGGTGTTCTGCTGATGGTGAGTCTGTTCTGTGTTTCTGTCATGTTCTAGATGGTTCATGTGAAACTTTTCAGGCCCCGTTCACACTAGTGTGTATGTGAGTGGTGTTGTTGTGTGTACAGTGTTGTTCACACTAGTGTGTATGTGAGTGGTGTTGTTGTGTGTACAGTGTTGTTCACACTAGTGTGTATGTGAGTGGTGTTGTTGTGTGTACAGTGTTGTTCACACTAGTGTGTATGTGAGTGGTGTTGTTGTGTGTACAGTGTTGTTCACACTAGTGTGTATGTGAGTGGTGTTGTTGTGTGTACAGTGTTGTTCACACTAGTGTGTATGTGAGTGGTGGTGTTGTGTGTACAGTGTTGGTTCACACTAGTGTGTATGTGAGTCCAGATGTGATGGGGACTGTGTGACTCCTGAAAACTCTGATACTGTGATGTAGGAGGTGGAGTCTCGTCCTGATTGGACACTGTGTCACTGTGACTCGCTGCTTCCTGTGACGCTGCTGTGGAGAACAGGAGCGTAAACAAACTCTTTCCCCCTTGGACTTGGAACAACACTTACATATATTAGTATTTGTGGGTTGTAGTGGCCCCGACCTGTCACAGCCTCTGTTTAAATGTGAAAACCCGAGCTGTTTCTAATGGTCAAATCACGTCTTTAGTGAAACAGCTGAGGTGTCATTAAGGAAACAAGGAGGTCGTCAAATGTCGTCTTCATGGGGAAAGAGTTAAACAAACCAGAGACAAATGGGAAACTGTGGCGCTGGAGCTGCTCACTAGTACAAGGTCCATGAAAAGACTTTTTACACTTTCCATCTTCCTCGAAATCGGCTGCTGCAGATTATTAGTGTTTCAGGCAGTTTTGCGTTAAAGGGCAAAGTTTAGTTCTACAGTCTGTGTGTACGACCTGCACATGTATAATGTGTGAAAAGTTTCACATGAACCAACAACACGACAGAAACACAGAACAGACTCACCATCAGCAGAACATCCCTCTGTCACAGAGAGAACACCCCTCTGACACAGAGAGAACACCCCTCTGACACAGAGAGAACACCCCTCTGTCACACAGAGAGAACACCCCTCTGTCACACAGAGAGAACACCCCTCTGTCACACAGAGAGAACACCCCTCTGTCACAGAGAGAACACCCCTCTGTCACACAGAGAGAACACCCCTCTGACACAGAGAGAACACCCCTCTGTCACAGAGAGAACACCCCTCTGACACAGAGAGAACACCCCTCTGTCACACAGAGAGAACACCCCTCTGACACAGAGAGAACACCCCTCTGACACAGAGAGAACACCCCTCTGTCACAGAGAGAACACCCCTCTGTCACAGAGAGAAACACCCCTCTGACACAGAGAGAACACCCCTCTGACACAGAGAGAACACCCCTCTGTCACAGAGAGAACACCCCTCTGTCACAGAGAGAACACCCCTCTGTCACAGAGAGAACACCCTCTGACACAGAGAGAACACCCCTCTGTCACAGAGAGAACACCCCTCTGACACAGAGAGAACACCCCTCTGACACAGAGAGAACACCCCTCTGTCACAGAGAGAACACCCCTCTGTCACACAGAGAACACCCCTCTGTCACACAGAGAGAACACCCCTCTGTCACACAGAGAGAACACCCCTCTGACACAGAGAGAACACCCCTCTGTCACACAGAGAGAACACCCCTCTGTCACACAGAGAGAACACCCCTCTGACACACAGAGAGAACACCCCTCTGACACAGAGAGAGAACACCCCTCTGTCACACAGAGAGAACACCCCTCTGTCACAGAGAGAACACCCCTCTGTCACACAGAGAGAACACCCCTCTGACACACAGAGAGAACACCCCTCTGTCGCACAGAGAGAACACCCCTCTGTCACAGAGAGAACACCCCTCTGTCACAGAGAGAAACACCCCCTGACACAGAGAGAACACCCCTCTGTCACAGAGAGAACACCCCTCTGTCACACAGAGAGAACACCCCTCTGACACACAGAGAGAACACCCCTCTGACACACAGAGAAACACCCTCTGACACACAGAGAACACCCCTCTGACACAGAGAGAACACCCCTCTGTCACACAGAGAGAACACCCTCTGACACACAGAGAGAACACCCCTCTGACACACAGAGAGAACACCCCTCTGTCACACAGAGAGAACACTCCTCTGACACAGAGAGAGAACACCCCTCTGACACAGAGAGAACACCCCTCTGTCACACAGAGAGAACACCCCTCTGACACACAGAGAGAACACCCCTCTGACACACAGAGAGAACACCCCTCTGTCACACAGAGAGAACACCCTCTGACACAGAGAGAGAACACTCCTCTGACACAGAGAGAAACACCCCTCTGTCACACAGAGAGAAACACCCTCTGACACACAGAGAGAACACTCCTCTGACACAGAGAGAACACCCCTCTGTCACACAGAGAGAACACCCCTCTGACACAGAGAGAGAACACCCCTCTGTCACACAGAGAGAACACCCCTCTGTCACAGAGAGAACACCCCTCTGTCACAGAGAGAACACCCCTCTGTCACACAGAGAGAGAACACCCCTCTGTCACACAGAGAGAACACCCCTCTGTCACACAGAGAGAACACCCCTCTGTCACACAGAGAGAACACCCCTCTGACACAGAGAGAACACCCCTCTGTCACAGAGAGAACACCCCTCTGTCACACAGAGAGAACACCCCTCTGTCACACAGAGAGAACACCCCTCTGACACACAGAGAGAACACCCCTCTGACACACAGAGAGAACACCCCTCTGTCACAGAGAGAACACCCTCTGACACACAGAGAGAACACCCCTCTGTCACACAGAGAGAACACCCCTCTGTCACAGGGAGAACACTCATATTCCACTGAGTCTCTGTGTCTTTAGTCCAACACAAACTGAACCACATCAGACACAAGGAAACAACTGTTTTTCTCACACACATTAGTTTATGTAAAACATAAACAAATGTGTTCAAGTCTGTGGACAGTGACTCACAGACACAGAGTCGAGTCGGTCGTCGCTCTGAGCCGCAGCTCGTCTTAAAATCCAGTGTTACGATAAATAAAAACTGAACCTCGTCGTCGGTCCATGAAAAGTCTGTTTTTACACTCGTCGTCTCCCTCGGCTCAAAATCAGCTGCTGCAGCTTCACACTTCCTTGTTTTTCCCGCTCACATGACGTCAGGAGGTCGTTAAGTTTGTGACACCAGCCGATCACGTGACCAGTGTTTCAGGCTTTGATTGTGGACACAGAAATGACGAGTCTGAACTCAGATCGTTTCCAATACAGTGATTCATTTTAGTGTAAACGGGGAGATTAAAGGGTCTGTGTGTGTGATCATATGTACAGACACACGTTTATGTGAATGGACACAAATTATGTCTCTTAGTGTTTTGTGGGTGAGACTCGGCGGTGACAGACTGACACACAGTCCCCATCACATACACCAGTTAAACTCTTGATCAACTCGTCACATGAGTTAGACGCCTGTTTGAACGAGTCACCGTCTACAGAATCAGACGACCAGACTCCAAACTGTCCAACACGGGAAAGAGCAAAAAGATCTGCCAAATGACGACAGGGACGGACTGTGGACCTGCCCGAGTCTGGACCGGGCGACAGAACCATCGGCCCGAAGCTGGTGTGAAGGAGAAACTGATGGTGCGACTGTTCCAACATTTAACAAACACAAAATGAGCATCAGTCGAGCTCGG